TATTTTGGGGCTGCTGTGGATTTATTTGGGGGGGGGGGGGGGAAGCTTTTGTATTTTTTGCGTCCCCCCGGGTGAGGAGCTCGTCCCTCCTCCTCCCAGCCGGTCCAGGCACCGCTGAAAAGTGGCCTCGATGAGCAGAGGGGATGGAAGGACCCGGCGTCCCGGCACCCGCAGGGGGCTTCACATGACATGTGGGTTCGGTTTGGTCTCCATCCCGGAGCCCTGGGGGAGGTTTTGGGGTTGCAACGACAGCCTGAAACCTCCTTCCTCTGCCCGCTCTGTTTGTGGTGTGATCCTGGGCAAGATGGGCTCCGTGCTCCCAAACCATTGGAAAAGTGGGGACCTGGTATTTCTGGGCTCTGCAGGGGCAGAAATCACCCCCTGTGTGTGTGAGTGAGTTAATCTTCTCTTGCTCTTTGCCTGGTGAAACGGGCACCTCAGGGACTCAGGGACCCCCCGGCTTTGCTGGGAAGAGTATTTGTCAAGCTGGAAGCTGGGAGGGACTTTTAACAAGGGCATGGAGTGATAGGATGAGGGGGAATGGATTAAAACTGGAAGAGGGGAGATTTGGGTTGGATATTAGCAGGAAATTCTTTGGTGTGAGGGTGGTGAGAGCCTGGCCCAGGTTGCCCAGGGAAGCTGTGGCTGCCCCATCCCTGGCAGTGTTGAAGGGCAGGTTGGATGGGGCTTGGAGCAACCTGGGCTGGTGGGAGGTGTCCCTGCCCATGCAGGGGGGGTTGGAACCTGATGATCTTGAAGGTCCCTTCCAGCCCAAACCAGTCTGGGATTCTCTGATTTCAGGGCCCTGGCAGGTCCCTTCTGGGGCTGGGGTGTCAGGGACAGTGACATAAACCACCCTGTGTGTGTCCCTGTCACTGGGGTTGGGAACCAGGGAGCCCCTGGGGAGTGGGATCACATCTGGGCCCCTCCGTGTGCTGGAACATCCAGCAGAGCCTTCTGGGCCCCCAGCACCATGGGCAGTGTGTGAATGTGGCTTCCTGCTCAGCAGTGGGGGTGGAGAGGCTGAACTCTCAGCAGCTCTTTCATTACCTTAATAAAATTACTTCAGGTCTGTTAAGTTCTTCTGCAGAAAAATGAGACATAATTGCATGTCTTGTTAGTGTCTCCTTCCCCCGAGCCCCTGGAGAGCCCCTGGGTCTGGCTTCTGTGGCTGTTGGGGGAATCTGTGGTGAGGGGCTTTTTTTTCTTCACCAGCAGCATTTGAGACTGGGAGAGCTGGGGTGTTCAGCCTGGAGAAGAGAAGGCTCCAGGGAGACCTCAGAGCACCTTCCAGTGCCTGAAGGGGCTCCAGGAAAGCTGGGGAGGGACTTGGGACAAGGGCAGGGAGGGAGAGGACAAGGGGGGGATGGATGAAAACTGGCAGAGGGGAGACTGAGGTGAGACATGAGGAGGAAATTCTTTGGTGTGAGGGTGGTGAGAGCCTGGCCCAGGTTGCCCAGGGAAGCTGTGGCTGCCCCATCCCTGGCAGTGTTGAAGGGCAGGTTGGATGGGGCTTGGAGCAACCTGGGCTGGTGGGAGGTGTCCCTGCCCATGCAGGGGGGTGGATCTGGATGATCTTTAAGGTCCTTTCCATCCCAAACCAGTCTGAGATTCTCTGATCTTCTCCAAGAGCCTGGACCAGGTGAGGAGCTGGTGAGTTCTGCTGGGCCCAGAGCTCCCACCAGGATGGCCCCTCTCCCTCTGTCACCCTCCTTGCTTTGACAGACATCGAGCAGCTCTTCAGAGTTGGGGTCTTTTTTGAACATCACCTTGTCAAAGCTTTTCTTCTCTGACAAGTTCTTCCCTAAACTCACCCACCCGACAGCAATAACAGTGATAATGGCCCCGAAATGAGATGATCAAGAGCTGGCTGGTTTTTCCCTGAGGCTGCAGGTCACCAAGGTCTTCCAGCATGATCCACCATGCCTTGTGTCCTCTGTGACCCTTGCTCTTCCACCAGAGACTCTGTTGAAGTCCTGGTTTAGCTTGGAAGCTGATCAGGCCTGGGTGGTTGGAGTGAGCAGTGGTGAGAAGCCCAGCACAGGTTCTCCCCTGTCTGGGCTCGTCAGGGTTTGTTTCAGTGCATGTTTTGCTTCCAAACTCCTCTTTTTCCACATGGAGGTGGTTCAAAGCCCTGTAGATGTGGTGCTGAGGGACAGGGGTCAGTGGTGGCCTGGGCAGTGCTGGGTGGATGGTTGGACTGGATGATCTGAAAGGTCTTTTCCAACCAGAATCCCGATGCAAAGTGCTCAATGGGGGAAGGTCTTTCCTTGTCACCAGCTGTGGCTTGGTCAGAGCTCAGAGATCCTGGTCCCCTTTGGATGGCTGATGGGCACAGGAGGGACAGGGGTGGTGGACATCAAAGGCAAATTGCCTGGAAGCAAGTTCATCTTCAATGTTACCAGAGGGTCTGGCAGCAGATGGTTGGATTCATTAGTGGCTTCATCAGCTGTGACATTCTTGAGGGATCCCTGCAGGTGGATTTTGGGAATGGTCTGTAGGAGTCTGACAGGGTGATGCCTCTGAGCTGGCTCCCTGCTTCAGTGCTAAGCTTCTGGTTTCAGTATCTGAAGAGAAACCTCCCAAGGAGCCTCTTTTCCTTCCCCGGGGGCGCTGTGGTCGTTGGCTCCACCTTCAAACCAAGGTGGATGCCACACCTGCTAGTAACCAAAGTTGTTAGCAACGCTGCTGGTGCCCTGCCTGGAGGGAAGAGTTGCTGCCAGAGGGACCTTTAGATCCTGATTTGTGCCAAGAACCAAGTGCTGAGCAGCCCAGCAGATGGATTTGGGAAGTGTGGCAGGGGATGAGAAGGTAAGTCCTCTGCCACGGGCAGCACCTGGCTAATGGAAATACAGGTGGGAAGCTGTGCAGCCCCTTCCCAGGCCGTGGCACCAACCCTCTGCAGCTGGAATCCTAACCCCAGGAGGGAAACAGCAGCTGGGAAGCCCAACTACAATGTATTGAAGGTCCAAAAAGCTGGATGTGCTGTGCTCCTGCACCAGGTTGGTGGTGGGAGGGGAAGGCTCTGGCAGCAGCTGCCCCAGGTGTTTGTGTCTCCAGGTGCAGCAGCAGGAGAGGAAGGAGAGGCTGGATGAGCTTGGAGACCTGCAGGAGAGGATGAGGAGGTTGGCTGGCTCCAGGATGGATTTGTCAACCAGGATGGGCTTCGGTGAAGAGGAAAAACTGAAGGTAAAACTTGGGGAGTTGGAGAGAACTGAGCCACGGAGCCGTGTGAGGGCAGTGGAAAACCTCCTGGAAAATGCTGGGGCCTCTTTTTCTAGGGGTGTATGTGTTGTGCTCCCTTCCCTGGGGTGACCTGTTGGACCTGGCTTGGCCTCAGGGTCATTCCATGACCTTTCCTGTGTCCCTTCTCTCTCCTAGATTTCCAAAGATCTCCTGGATCTCCAGATCGAGACGAACAAGATGAAGGAGCAGCACGAGACAGAGAACTTTGAACTGAAAAATAGGGTACCCAGAACCTTGGAAACAGCTGGTTTCAGCTCTTTATGCCTTTAACCAGAAGCCCAGCACCTTCCCCACCCTTCTTTGCTCTCCTTGCTGTGTTCTCTGGGCTTCAGCTACAGGAACGTGTCCCCCCGGTGCTGCGGGTCCCACAAAACTCACCTCTCTGAGTCACAACCTGCTGGCCCAATGAACCCTCTGTGATCCCTGCCACGGCCTTGATTCTGCTGCCTCCCCTCTGCAGCTCCTGGCCCTGGAGACCCGTGTGCAGGAGCTGGAGCTGTGCAGGGAGCAGGTCACCGGGGAGCGGGATTCCCTGCGGGAACGTCTGGGCGCCCTGGAGAGCAGCTGGAAGGAGCTGGCAGCTGAGTACATCATCCTGAAGAGCAATTACCTGGCCCTGGGCAAAGAACTGGACCAGGAGGTGAGAGACAGGCTGTGGTGTTCACTCTTGTTCTCTGGGCTGTTTTCCCAGGGACCTGGTTGGTTGGTTGGGGCTGGGTATCCATGGCCCGTGGGTGTGTTTGCAGGGCCCAGGGGTTTCACAGAATCAGCAGCTCATAGACTGGTTTGGGTGGGAAGGGACCTTAAAGACCATCCAGTCCCACCCCCCTGCATGGGCAGGGACACCTCCCACCAGCCCAGGTTGCTCCAAGCTCCATCCAACCTGCCCTTCAACACTGCCAGGGATGGGGCAGCCACAGCTTCCCTGGGCAACCTGGGCCAGGCTCTCACCACCCTCACACCAAAGAATTTCCTCCTCATGTCCAACCTCAATCTCCCCTCTGCCAGTTTTAATCCCTTCCCCCTTGTCCTCTCCCTCCCTGCCCTTGTCCCAAGTCCCTCCCCAGCTTTCCTGGAGCCCCTTCAGGCCCTGGAAGGTGCTCTAAGGTCTCCCCGGAGCCTGTTCTTCTACCATGCTCACCTTCCAGCAGAACCCCCTCTGATCAGCAGGGACCACCACCCTGATCCCTGTGCCTGCCCTCCTGAGCACCCTGTGATCAGAGTCCTCCTCTTTTCATGCCACCCTAGAGCCCTGTCACCAGCAGGAGCAGGGAGGTGACAGTGGGGCCTGTCCCCCCTGGCTCCCAGCTTGCTTTGTTCCCCTTTATTTCTGCCTGGCTTGCGTGGGAAGGGGCTGGAGTCCCTCTCCGGTGGCAGCAGGAAGGGGCCTGGGAGGTTTTGAGGTCAGCAAGTTTATAGACATAAACAAGTTTCTACTTGTGCCTTAAAATAGATCCAGTTTCCTGGTGCCTCTTAGCTTAGCAATTATTAACTAAAGCCTTTTGGACCCAGATGTGTGTTTTTGGCAAGACTTGCTGTTTCTATAGACATTCCTCTCTTCCCTCCCTCTCCCCTCTCCCACTTCTCCATCTCTTTGAGTGGGATCTGATGACTGGCACCTCCAGCTCCTCTGGCAGATCGTGTAGCTGCTCCAGGCAAACTGCCTGGTGCACTGGGCTGGCCCAGTGCAGAGCTGTGGTGGGAAGATGTGGGACTGGGAGCAGGCGAGATGATTTAGGCAGTGTCCAGTCTGTCCTGAGGGTGGCATTGGTGGGCAGAGCCCTGCTGGAGGAATGGATGGGCTCATCATCACCTCGTGGCAAATCGTAGAATCTCCAACCGGTTTGGGTGGGAAGGGACCTTATGGATCATTTAGATCCAACCCCTGCATGGGCAGGGACACCTCCCACCAGCCCAGGTTGCTCCAAGCCCCATCCAACCTGCCCTTCAACACTGCCAGGGATGGGGCAGCCACAGCTTCCCTGGGCAACCTGGGCCAGGCTCTCACCACCCTCACAGCACAGAATTTCTTCCCAACATCCCATCTCAACCTCCCCTCTTGCAGCTTAAAACCCTTCCCCCTTGTGAGTTAGTGACTCTCTGGGGCTCTCGTTTCTCTCCTGTCAGCTGAGGGGTGGAAATTTCCTCTGAGGAGGGAAGCTCAGCAGCCTGCAGGGCTGTGAAGCCACCCTGGAGCACAGGGCACAGCACGTGTGGCTGTCACCAGGGCTGCAGTGACACAGGCTGCTGCCTCTGCAGGGGAGCAGCTCCTCTGCTTCCCATCCCCAAGGTGGTGCCACGGGTCCATCCCAAGCTGGAGCTCCAGCTGGCAGCCATGGCTTGAGCAGAGTGGTGGGAACAACACCCCTCCTTTCACATGGAGCCTGGAATCTCTCCCGAGAGTGAAAGCACATGGATTCCTTTCCATGCCTGGACAGCATCCTGAGGAAGTGCTGGAGCAGATTCCAGAAGCCAAAGGTGAATTCCCTGCTTGGAATTCCCAGGCTGAGGGTTTTAAGCCCAGTTTCTTGGCTCCAACTACCGAGCATCCCTGCCCTGAAGCAAATGAGGCTCCGACTTGGCAGGCTGGGGCTTCTCACTGCCTGGGCCCCTTGCTCATTATTTTCCCAGCCTGGACATTCCCAAAGGGAAGGGGGGAAGAGCAGCGTGTGGTGCTGCCCCCTCCCCTTCCCCGCGGCTCTGCCGGGGCAGACAATGAGCCCTTCACACGCTCCCAATTACAAGTGCTACTTGTGACCCTGCCAAGATGTTGTCATGGCTCCTTGGTGCAGGGGCAGCTCGTTTCGTTCCCTCTCCCTTGGCAGGGAAAACAGCCTTGGAATTGTGCCTGGGAATTCCTGCCTTGGGGTTGGGGCAGCCCCTTTGTGCCCACAGCCACCTCCCCGGGGCAGGGGCAGGGCAGGGCTGGAGGTGCCAGCCGGGTCACTTTGTCCCTGTTCTTTTAACTCGCTGGAAATTCCTCCTTTTCAAGACTCTGACCTTTCTCTCCACTCTGCTTTTCCTCCTCCTCCTCCTCCTCCTCCTTTTGTTCTGGCAGGATCCCAAGGAGGGAACCCAAAAGCCTCCAGGCCAGTTCCACGCTGGGCTTTTCCCTGGAGCTGGGCCAGGCTTGGGAGGCACAGGGGAGGCAGAGAAGCCCCTCACAAACCTGGGCTTTGCCTTTCTTGCCCCGAGCAGGTACATTTGTGCTCTGTGTGTGTGTCCCAACCCCTGCCCAGGCCTGGCACTGTGGATGGGGCTCTGCCTTGGGGACCAAGCAGGCTGGCTCTGCCTGGCTGTCAGTTTTCACAGCTGTATATCTCACCTCTTTGTCAGCCTCTTTTCTCCTCTCCCCTCTCCCTCAGCCCACCCTGTGCTATCTTTTGATAAGCTGCTCTCTCCCCAGTGACTCAGATGACCTCTCCCTCCCATCCTCCCAATTCACTGCCATGGTAACAATTACTCAAGCTTGTCCCCAGCCATAAACCCCATCAAAGCTTTGTTATCTACATAGAAACCCTCCCGTGAGACATGAATTCCCTCAGTGTTCCCTTCCACATCACCTGTAACAGCCCCTTTTCTCATTCAGATCCTCTTTATCTTTTTTTGGGGGGGATGTGTCACTTCACACCAGCTCTGAATCTCTTGGCTGCTGCCCCCGCGGTGCCGTGGGCTGGTGCTGCTGGAGGGATGCCTGCCAACCTAACTGGGATTCACTGGGTGCTGGCAGCCCTGAGGGATGGAGATTGGGGCCCTTCTCTTCCCTTCTGGGGTCCAGAACTGTCCAGGGTTGGAAAGCTGGAAGGAGGGAGGCTGGAGGTCAAGGCTGAGCTGTGCCCAGGGCTGGGCTGGCACCAGGGATTGTGTTTGAATGGTAGAGGGAGATGGGCAGAGGGAATCAGGATCCATCTGGGGGATCCTGGTGCCTTGGTGCTGGTTCCCGTGAGAATTAGGGATTGATTCCAGGAGGGGATGTGAGGACCTGCCTCGTGTTACCCACTGAGAGCAGAGGGCAGCAGCCAGGCTGGAGGGGCAGGATTTCAGGAGCTCTTTCCTTCTTCTTTCACCTGGCAGGTCACGAGGAATGAGGAGCTCAGCATGGAGCTGCTCAGCCTGGCCAATGCCAGGAGCACCATTCCTGGCACAGAGAGCAACCCCTTCCCTGCCATGGCCAAGGAATCCACTGCTGAGCTGGAAAGGGAGAGCCAGCCCTGGGCTCCAGGGGTGAAGGTAGGGACCTCCCTGCCCAGTGCCAGCCCCTGGGAGAGCAGGGATCCAGCAGGCTCCTGGGAGAGCAGAGATCCAGCAGGTCCCTGGGAGAGCAGGGATCCAACAGGCTGGTGGGAGAGCAGGGATCCAGCAGGCTGGTGGGAGAGCAGGGATCCAGCAGGCTGGTGGGAGAGCAGGGATCCAGCAGGCTGGTGGGAGAGCAGGGATCCAGCAGGCTGGTGGGAGAGCAGGGATCCAGCAGGCTGGTGGGAGAGCAGGGATCCAGCAGGCTGGTGGGAGAGCAGGGATCCAGCAGGCTCCTGGGAGAGCAGGGATCCAGCAGGTCCCTGGGAGAGCAGGGATCCAGCAGGCTGCTGGGAGAGCAGGGATGCAATAGGATCCTGGGAGAGCAGGGATCCAACAGGTCCCTGGGAGAGCAGGGATCCAACAGAATTCCGTGGGAGACCAACAAGGGCAGAGGATGCTTTCTCCTTTCCTCCTTGCCATTCCTTGAGCAAGATGGGGGTGATAAAGCCCCCAAAAGAGAGAGGAGCAGGGTGTTCCCTGCCCTCTGCAGCCCCTGTGGTACCAGCTTGGGCTCAACCTGCTCCTGCTGGGAACCTGACTCTCCCATGGGAGAACAACACGTGGGCACCTCCTGTGCCCTGTCTCCAGAGCACACCCCCCTCCTGGTGTGCCACAGGCACTGGTCACTCCCAGTTAAACCTGTCCTTTCCCCAGTTTGTCACTGGTCAGCTGGAGCCTCCCCTCACTGCTCCCCCTCAGCCCAGGCCTCTGCCTCATTTTCCTCTTCGTTTGTCCCTCTGTTGCTTGGAAACCAGGATCACATAGAAGCAGAGATTGAAAAACTGAAGCAAACCTATGATTTGCAGCAGCAGAAGCTGGAAGAGAGACTGTGAGTGTTTCAGGGCAGGTCCTTCTGGCTGGCAGGACAACTGGGGGGGCTCCTGGCAGCTGGATGGGATGGAGAGGAGCTGGGGTGCAGGGTGGGGAATGACCCTTCCCCCTTGGAACATGGGAGGCCTGGGAGCAAAGCCTGATGTTTTCAAGGCTCTTGGGAAAGGGGCAGCTCTCTGCTTCAAGGTTGGTGCTGTTTGTGTGTCCCACTGACCAGGGCACCTCTGAAAATCCCCCTTCTGTGACACACGTGGCAAAGAAGTGACAACCCAGGGGTGAACCCAGCCCCAGACCTTCCTCCCCAGTGGCCCTTCCATTGACAGGCTGGGATGGGGTCTGTGTCCCAGCAAAGGCTGCCCCAGGAGGGACCCTGGAGACCTGGAGTCCTGTCAGGACAGGCTGGGAGAGCTGGGGTGTTCAGCCTGGAGAAGAGAAGGCTCCAGGGAGACCTTAGAGCACCTTCCAGTGCCCGAAGGGGCTCCAGGAAAGCTGGGGAGGGGCTTGGGACAAGGGCAGGGAGGGAGAGGACAAGGGGGGATGGATGAAAACTGGCAGAGGGAGATTGAGGTTGGACATGAGGAGGGAATTCTTTGCTGTGAGGGTGGTGAGAGCCTGGCCCAGGTTGCCCAGGGAAGCTGTGGCTGCCCCATCCCTGGCAGTGTTGAAGGGCAGGTTGGATGGGGCTTGGAGCAACCTGGGCTGGTGGGAGGTGTCCCTGCCCATGCAGGGGGGTGGATCTGTGTGATCTTTCAGGTTCCTTCCAACCCAAACCAGCCTGGGATTCCATGACACCCTGACTGGTAGGACAGTGAGGCTGCAGGAGCCCTGCTGGCTGGCACACACCTGGTGGGGCTTGGCAGCTCCTGCTGAGAGACTTTTGTCATCCCTCAGTGGTTTCCCTGTCAGAGCTGATTGTACTGAATCCATGGACAAGCTTGGGGGGGCCTAAAATAAACACAGCACCTTCCTGCCTTCCCAGGACAGCGATGGGGAAGGAGCTGCAGGAGGCCAAGGGAGCCATGGGGGATGCTCAGCAGAAGCTGGTGGAACAATCAGTGGTAAGAGCAGGTTCCCTCAGCACCCACACTGCCCATCCACTCCTCCAGGGTGCCAGGAGCTTCTCCTTGGAGCTAGCAGGGGGTGGGGGTCTTGTACTGGGTGCTCTCACACCTCTCCCTCTCCAGAGAGCTTGTCAAACCGAGGGGCTCCTCCCTGTGCAGGTCCCTTCTCCAGGGGTGTGATGCACGTGGGGGAAAGTGCTGCTTGTCACAGGTGGTGAGAGGAAATTTATTCACTGGTATTTAGAGAGAGATGGTGAAATCACCACGGGGGGATTGTCAGTGACAGAAGGTACCAGGGGAACAGAGACTATAAACATTGCCAGGTGAAAGCCCAGGACCTTCCCAGCTTGAGAGGAGGTGATGCTTTGGAAATGAAGTGCCCATCTCTGATGGACCTTCTTAGTGCCCCTTGCTGGGCTGGAGGACAAGGGCAGCAGCAAGTGTGTGTGCTGTGCTGAGCTGCTGCTGAGCTCCCAGAGCCCCTTTGCTGTTCCCAGGTGCTGCTGAGCTCCCAGAGCCCCTTTGCTGTTCCCAGGTGCTGCTGAGCTCCCAGAGCCAGCTCCAGGAGGTGGAGGCAGAGAACTCCAGGCTGCAGCTCCAGCTGAAGGAGCTGAACCAGGAATATCGTTCCCGGCTGGCGCAGCACATCAAGGACCTGGCGGTGGGTACCCCCAGCCCCAGAGCTCCCCTGGGGAAGTCTCTCCTTGCAGGCTGCCTCAGTTTCCCCTCCTGGCTGTGGGCTGCTGAGCAGAGCAGCCAGCAGGGCCTGTGCTGGCAGCTGGAAGGGCTCGGTGGGCTCAGCTGGGCTGGGGCAGGACATCCCAGCCCCTCTCCTTGCCTGGGTCTCCTCGTGCCAAAGGGTCTGAGCTTCTGCTGGGACTTGCTGTCTTGGTCAAATTATTTGGGATTGAAAGATCCCTTTATTTACAGTGGCTGCCTTCCAGTTGGCTTCTGCTCACCCTGACAACCTCCCTCAGCAGGGCAGGCTTTGTTGCCACCTCCTTGGTGACTCCCTGGCTGTCCCACAGGGAGCTCTGCCAGCCTCAGTGCCTGGAGCTGCCTCTGGCAACAAGCACCTTGGATGGAGAGTGGGGCCCCCAGAGCACCATCAGGGCTCAGCACAAGGCATGGACCTGATGGTCATGAGCAGCAAGACTGGACAGAAATCCCTTTTTACCCCCCCCCAGGTAGCAGTAGGCAGGTTTGGGCAAGAGCTTCTGAGCTGGGAGAAGGCTGGTGCTGAAGAACATAGTCTGGTGATGGGTCAGGAGACTCAGCAGAACAGTTGAAATTAGTTTCCACCAGAGTGATGCTGAAGCACCTCCAGCTTGAGCAGAGAGAGCATGGGGTGGAAAGAACAGGGGACTCGAGGTGGTAACTCCTGATGCCAACTTGTGACTCCCTAGGTGGGTCACTGATACAGCCCAGATGCCTCCTCTGTCTTGAAGGGCCATGATGGAAGTGAATCAGCCTCTCCAGCTCTCAGACCACGGAAGAGATTCCCTGGTCCCTCTGCTGTTACCACAAATACCTGCCCACCCGGGTGGGCAGTTCCGTGCCTGAGGGAATGACTTGATTGCCTCCCTTTCTTTCTCTCTGTGTTGAAAGGACTACATGGACAGCAAACCCAGCCATGCAGCAGGGCCCAGCAAGCCCCCAGCTGATCCTGCTCCCATGAAACGTTTTGTGGACACCATGCTGGAGGATGTCAGGGCTTCCTACAGGTCTCGGGAGGAGCAGCTGGCTGGGGCAGCACGTGGCTACAAGAAACGCATGAAGAACTTGGTGAAGAAGCATGAGAACCTGCTGATTGCTTATGGGTAGGGCTGAGGGAGGTTCTGGGCTACCTCTGTCTCCCACTTGGACCTTAGCAACAAGCTGAGAAGTGCTCCATGGCCCCCAGCCCCATGGCCAAGAGGGAGGAGAACCCGGCTGCTGGGTGGAGCAGGGGATCTGGGGTGGGTGTTCATCTCCCTGCTCCAGACAAGGCAGGAGGTCTCCAGCCCCACAGCAGAGTGCTCTGGGCAGCCTGGAGCTGTTTTGCACGTGTATTTCTCCTCTGGAAGCTGGGAGGGTGAGGGAAGGATTCCACGTGGTGTGGAATTGCAGAGGCACCACAAATAACTCCTTCCTCCCAGCCCGGCCCTGCGGGGCTCCCAGCTCTGCTCCGCAGCTCTCCCAGCAGCTTGGGCTGTGGGAAGCAGCAG